CACACACACCAGGCAGAGCTCTGGACATGAGCCAACTCCCCTTTCTCCCTGACTAGGGGAGTGGAGATGCCGACATGACTTAAGCACCTACCGTGAGCCGGGCCCTTTCCCAGAATTCTCTAATCCCCAAGCCGGAGAGCAGCATTTCCCCACTTCAGAGATGAGGATGCTGAGGCCCCTGGAAGCACTCAGCTAGTCTGCAGCAGATCCAAGCTTTCTTATTCCAACACCAAATCCGGCCTTCTCCCCAGGTGCTCTAAATTCCTTGGCCCTAAGGATGACAGGGATCAAGGAGGGTGGTCAGAGGGTTCCCTAGTTCCCCTCCCCCCACTTTTGGTCAAGAAGCAGGTTATCGCTTGAGGCCCCCATCACTGCTGCAGTTTGAAACAGGGAGCTAATAATGGCAGGATTTAGGGGCTCCCAGGACTGAGGAGTGTGTGGCCCCTACAAGATCCTGAACCTTCTGGCTGAGATGAGGACATCAGACCCAGAGAGCAAAGGGACCCACGCCAGAAGGGAATGTCCATGTAGAGGGCTGGGGGTCAAAAGGGCTTTGATGCATCTGCCTGGAGCTGTTTTCTCACCACCCGCGTCTTCAGCCTCACCTTTGGCAGATTTTGGGTGCCTGCTGCGGACCAGGCACCGTGCCAGGTGTGTTACATGGTTCTGTCTTTCATCCTCACAGCCTGTAATCAGTCCTAGGGAACTGTTATCATCCCCAATCTACAGCTGAGGAAACTGAGGCCCAGCGAGAACAGTAGCTCTTCCAGGGATGTCCTCACCTGGTGGGTTCTGAATCCCAGCCCAGGCTGCCTGACTCCTGAGCTCTGCACTGACTCCCTCTACTAACAGGAACTGGGAGTTCTTGGGCAGTTCCTATGGGATCTGTCTTTTACGTGGATTGTTTCAAAGCTACACGACCACCCTCTGAGGTAGGGACCTGTGTGGTCCCCATTTTGCAGGTGAGGAAACTGAGGCAGCTCAGAAAGGTGAAGGGCCTTGGCCAAGGTCACAGAACCCATATTTCCTGGGCTCAGGTTGAGGCTTATCTGAATCCCAGCTTGAAGAGAGAATCCCTAAAGCCTGCCCCGTCCAAACCCGTCATCTTACGGCTGGTGAAATGGAGCCCCAAGGGGGAGCAGAGGCTCGCCCAGGCCCCACAGTGGTCATTGGCAGCAATGGGATGCAGGTCTCCACGGAGTCCCTTACATAGAGTTCCCATTTTACAGATGGGCCAATTGAGGCATGGAAAAATAAACGGCACAGAGAAGGCTAAAGGGAGAGCCAGGGTGGTAAACCCAACTTCAGCACACAGAGATTCTTGAGGTCTCCTCCCATCCCTGCCAGATCCCCCAAGACCTGTTCGGGGGCAGGGCTCTTGGCTTCAGCCAGCTTGACCCTGGGCCCATCTCTCTACAAGTTCAGATTTTCTGCCATTCCAGCCCTGAGCCCCTGCCCTGGCCTGTGCGGTGCTCTACCTCACCTGCGTTGGGAAGCTGGGGGGTCTCGGCCAAGGGCGGTGTGAAGTTGGTGCAGGGTTAAATACAGACCAAAGGAACAAATAGAGAACCAGGACCTAGACCCAGGCCCATGTGATTATCAGGTGACAATGAACTTGGAGCCCCACCTAACACCATAATCAAAAATAAATTTCTCTAGTGGTTCCCAGTGGGGGGAGGGAGGGAGGCAATGTAGGGGGAGGAGGTCAAGACGTACAAACTATTAGGTATAACATAAGCTTGAAGGATGTACAAAGAACTCTGTCTTGGCAATGGTTTGAGCATAAACTCACAACATGGCCCAGTCTCTGTGGCAAGCGCTGAGCACTGTGTTTTCAACGTGTGTTGCTGCTTTAAATGTGTACCTGTGTTTTACCAAGGAGCAGTGAAGGGGACCATGCCTCAGCCTGGGGTGCTGTCACAGTGACTCTTGGCCCAGAGCAGCGGGACCAGATGGAGGCGCCTCCCAGGTCTCCACCCCACCTTGGGATTCTAAGCCCTGAGCCTGAGCCCCAGTCAGCATCCCTGACAATGCAGGAGGCAGAATGTTCAATGCAGTGCTGTGTAAAATGCTTTAGACGTAAACCAAGTTGAGAGCAAAGGCCCCTTGCTGACTCCATCGAAAGAGGGGCTCAGACCCTCTCCTAGCCCATCAGATAAGGTGTGGGACTCCAAGCACCACAGGTCCCCAGCCTGGGCTCTCAGATGAGGTGCTGGCTTCTGAAAGCTGGCCCACAAAAATCAGAAAATCAGAGGGCCACAATGACCCAGGCCTCCCCAGTCCTGGCCCCACTTGTTCTCAGTTTTACCAGCTACTCCCTCCACAAGCCTTACTTTTGGCCTGGACGTAGAACACAGGATTGGTCCACAACCCACTGCCAGAGACAGAGGTGGCCTGGATCCGGGCCGTGTAGCTCCCCTGGTGAGCCGGCTCAGCCTGGCCCCTGCACACTTCCTGTGCTCCTGTCAGGACACACATCCCCGCTGATGCTGGGGAAATAAAACACATGTGTCAGTTTCCCACCAACATGTGAGGAACAGGCAATTCCCACCTAACAGTGACCCCGATTTGCAGTAAAGGGGGAAAAGCCAAGCCTTACACCATGGCAGTCCTCTTAACTCAGCACACCCAAGCTAACCAAACCTTATTTTTTTAATCAAAAAGAGTTCCAGAAAGACTAAATCATTAAGCCGAATGTAATATAGACTGAAAAATCATTTTCTGCAACACAGGAGTGCCTTGAGGGTGAGAATAAGCCAGCTCCTGGCACACTCTGAGAATTCCTCAAGGAGCGTGGAACAGGTAGAAAGATCTAAGTCCTCACTGACTTACCTCCTTACTTTATTGTTTAAAGTCCTAAGCTAACCAGGAGGTGCTCCATGTCACAGCCTAATTTCCGCTATCCCCTGTGATGGAAACATACCCAGACACGGGCCACCGCCCCGTCTTACCTCGACGTGTGGTCCATGTTTTATTTCATAGATGAGAATCGCTCCACAGGGATTCTCAGGTTCTGGCCACTTTAAAAAGATGGAGCTCTCAGACCTTGGCTCCCAGGTCACCGGTCCAGGAATGTCATCTGCTTCCTCTGTGCAACAACTGAAACAAGTGATAAAGCTGGATTCTGGTCCCCAGGGAGGGACAAAGAAACACCGGGCTAACCTAAGAGTACCCCCTGCTCCCAGCACGCAGGACTGCGGACAGCCGCCGCGTCAACGCCTCCTGACTGGCCGTGTGCCCAAAGCCAAGCAGCATCGAAACGATGCTGAGAGAGCAGGAGCAGCCGCCCCCGGCCCCCAGGCCAGGACACGGGCCCTCGCACTCCTCTCCGCACACGGCAGATGTGATTCCTGTGCAGGCACGAAGGACCGTCCACGAGCCCGCTTGCAGGAAGCTGCTGGGAAACTGGCCCATCAGCTGCTCCTCCAGCTGCCGGTGAGGCTGGGGTGCTGGCTCCCTTGCTTTTGCTTCTTAAACCACTACTCCAAGTGGTGAGCAGAAGTCACTGCAAGTTCCAGCTGGGAAAGGCTCTGAGACATCAGCTGGGCTGCGCCTCTCCTGGGAGGGGAGGAGACGGAGGCCAGGGAGGCTGGCAACTCCACACAGGTGGCCCAGGAGGCCCCACTCCCAGGCTGCAGTCACTCTGTGCTCTGCATACCTGCCAACTCCACAGGGAAGCAGATGGGGCAGTTACCCATCCTTAAAGGTGGGTGGGTGGCTGGCTGAACCACAGGCAGCTTCTAACTTACAAGGGGAAGGTGAAGACCAAACAAGGAGGACCAAAGGCTGCTCCAGGAACCGACCTGGAGGATTGCTCTGATCGCGCTAATCGAGACGGCTAACTGGGGACTCCGCTGCATCTCTGAGAACTCAGGAGGGACCCCGCAAACCCGCTGCGCACATGAGGGTAAGGGGCCGTGGGAACGTACAACGTGAACCAACCAGAAGGGAAAGAGCTGACCCTGACTCGAGCTCCCTGCTCTTGGGCACTCTGTGTGGAGAGAATGGGAGCGGGGAGAGGTGTCACTATGAAAGAATGCTACCCCTCGGGCTGCTGGGCCACCAGGCTGCCTGCAGATGATCACCTGTTTTTAATAAGCATGACTGAGACTAAGGTGTCGGCCTCCATGTCTGTAATTCACGACCTTCTCCCCTTGATTGTGAGTGAGCTGGGAATGGTGCGAGCTGGATCACACCATACCTGCAGGCACGGTTCTCTCAAAGACAAAGTTGGAGGCACTGCAGCCCAGCTTCTCAGCCTCGTGGTTACAGCTGTGGGTATTGATGCGGTACAAAATGAAAGGCCAGAGGTTAGAGATTACAGTTCTCTCCTTGTCCACTCTGCTTTCAAAGAAACGGCACTCCGTCTCGAGCTCTTCCTGGTCTGCAGTGTTGTAGGTGTCCACCACCGCGGTGTTCCTGTTTCAGCTGGATATGGTGGTGCTGGTGGCCTGCATGACCTCCCTCTGCTTTCTTTTGGGTCTGCAAGGAAGAGAGAAACTTGGCTTCTAAGTGAGGGCCTCCCCCTCTTGTCTCTTCTATGACTTAGGTTAGAGGAAGAGAAAGAAAAGAAAAATCTTAACCTTGGAATAAAAGGAGCTACTCGGGTGCCTTGGATGAGAACCAACAAATAATACAGAGATTCCCTT